GCAGGAGGAGAAGGACGCGGCCGCGAAGAAGGACGAGGCGGCCGGCAAGAAGGACGATGACGCCGCCGCCGCCGCCGCGGCCGGCGGCGCGGCCACGGCGCCGGCGAAGGCCAGCACCGTGCACCACCCCGATTACGAGAAGGACGTTGTTTATCTGTATCAGTTCCCGCGGACGCCGCTGCTCCCGTCCTTATCCCCGTACGGTCTCAAGGTGGAGACGTGGTTGCGGTTGAACGGCATCAAGTACGAGGTGAGTGTGTCGCGCGCGCTACCGTTTTTCCTTTCCTCTCTCTCTCCCCCCCCCCCCCCCCCATCCTCTCTTTCCCCCGATTACACGACGGCCAAATTGGCCCCCCTCGCATTTTCTTTCTTGCGTGCGTGCGTGCGTGTCTATCCGTCCGTCCGTTCGTTCGTTCGTTCGTTCACCGGTCTGCGTGCTGGTGAGGGAGGATCGATTGCCTTTATTCTAGTCTCTCTGACTGTCGCTTCTCTCTCTTTCTCTCTTCCTACTGGAACCGCGCGCGCAGTCCCTCAGAATCCAGGCATTTTCCAGATGTGGAATAAATACCGTGTAAAATTGCGCTATCCTCGAAGAGAGAGAGAGAGAGAGACAGGAAATCTTTTCAGTGACTGCGTTCAGCAAAATGCAGCTTTGCGATTGTCGTGAAACTCTTTGACACGATTGATTTGTCGTTAGTCCCTCATATTTCTAAATGTATCTTTCATGCACTTTTTACAGTGAGCCATTATTTAAGCTTTGAACTGAAAAAAAATATTGACAAATGGTCGACTATATTCTTTTCACGTTTTTAAAGTGAAATCTAATTTTTCAAGATTGAAAATGGAGCCAACTCTTTTCGCTTGAAGATCGGCTGAATTTTCAGTTCTCAGGGTGAGATTTCGCTGCAAAGAATTACGGGGAGCAAACGAATCGTGTTGAAGAATTTTACAGCAGCTGCAAAGCTATTTCCGTTAAACGTAGCCCATTTCGTTGTACAATACGAAGCGGAAGTCAGTAATCCGTGGGATTCGCAATTCGGCGCAAATCGAACGTATATACTTTTTGCGAGGTCGATCAGCCGTAGATAAGCGCGTTCCGCGCCGATCGCGTCTCCCAGCCTGGCTAATTGGAGCGAGCAGGATCGCCGTCGAGTGGCGATTTAAATCCCCCGTCCTCGACCATCGCAATCGGCGACATGGCGTCGCGATTTAATCCGCGCGGCTGGTAATGTCGGCCGTACGGAACGCTACGACGACGCGACCGGGGGGATGATTTACGTTGTCTGGGTGCCTCGAGATGCTATACGAACGCGCGCGGCATTTCGCTCAGCGCATAGAAACAGAATCTGGCCATGAGATGACGAAGAACTTTTGATTGGCCCGTCGTTTTTGTCAACTTCATTAAAAATATACTCTCTCTGGAGTGGAATCTCATTCTAAAGAATGAAAATTAAGCCATTTGTCAAAAAGAGTGACTCAATTTTCAATCTTTAAGAGTAAGATTTCATTCTTCAGAATCTGAGAATTTATTTTCAAATTTTTAAGTTTACTATAAAAGTTTACTTCAAATTATGTGTGGCTCTAAAAGTGGTACATCCTTCTTTTTTATTCTTGTGTTTTGACAAAATTATTCGTGGTCAGACTGTTCGAGCTCAGCGGGAACCAGGGTGTTGATGAAGAGAATGCAACGCGCGTTCCGATCTTTCAGATCCGAGAAGAGGCCCTGCTGTTTACGTCCGTGAGTTATCTCGCGATCGTCTTCTAATTACACTCCGCGAGAATCGACTTGAAAGACGCAACACTCCTGAGATGCAAATTAACTTGGCGAACGATGGGGTTATAAAAAGAGAAGATCTGTCGCGCGGCGCGAGAAATTGTAGCAATTTTTATGCTATATTTAGCAACTCTCCCTTCGAACGATTTCGTTCGGATATTCTCTCTCTGGAATTGTCCGTACGTTCTTCCAGTCGAGGTATAATCTCGGCGTACGTGCTCGAGTGCGCATCGCGACGTCGTAAGCGTAATTATCTTGCTGCGACGCACGATAAAAATGCACGCATAAAGACGGCCTTCGCGCGGACCGCTTCAAAATGGCGGCTGCTGTCAACTTTCGGAGCGGTGCCTTCGACCTAGGCGTAAACCTAGCGCGAAAGGAGAATTCAGTCCCGTAAAATTTGTTTCGTGAATTACAATTGGAAATTAAGAGAAAATAATGCGCTGGAAAAAGAGGTGTCTAGTCTCATTAATTTGGGATTCTGATGGAAAATGGATAAATCGGAGTTCTCTCTGCGTGAAAAGAACGCGGACGAGCTAAAAATTTTAGCTAGATATAGGATCTGAAAATAATTTTGTTAAATTATCGATCTTATATCTGTTAGAATTATAGTCGAGATAATTAGATTCTAATTCTGTACAGAACCAAAATTCTGTACAGAAAAATATATACTGTATATAGAATAATATTTATTTCAAGTGTTTTTTAAAAGTTCGTATATTTTTAAATTTATCATAAATTCATGACAAGCATCAAATTTATTCAAAATATTCTAAATCCTAGTAAGTTATGTAACATTTTAATTAAGATCGTTAAATTAACATAAATTTGATTTACTTATTATTTTTTTTAGATTTACAGTTTTTCTAAAATTTGTAATAGAGGTATAACATTTTAAAATTTATTCAAACAAAAAATAAATTTGAACCAGGAAAAATAAGAAACGATTAAATTTAATATCAAGAAATTCTATATGTCAAAAATAAGCAAGTCTGGAAAGAAAATAAATTAAGTCACTTTTCTTAGCAAAAACGATATTTTTCTGTGTATGGTTGATACAAGAGAGAATATACCAGGTTTTTTTTATTAGCAAAATACAGGTTGAGAGTAAAATAAACATTTGACGACAATATACTAAGAAAAACAAATTGTTTATTGATTACCTTAATTTTGTTTGTCGTTATTTCTTTCAATGAAGAATATTTATATCAAATATATGTTTGACTTAAGTACATACATTTTTTTATTGGAACAAATAAAAACGAACTGAATTTAGTCAAATAAACAATTTTTTTCAATGTATACAAATGAAAATAATAACTCTTTCATACACGTATGTTTCTGAATCGACAGTCGGGAAGACGAAAAACGTAATATTACATCCTCGATGCTTGCACAAATATTCGCTTGTTATGCTTCTTGCAATATCAAGTTTCAACCATGCTTGAAGGAGAGTCTCGAGATGCTTTTAATCTCGAGGCGTGTTTTTACTCCTCGAGGAGCTATCTTAGCATTAGATTTAATTGATCTCTCTATCCAGACTGCGCTTCTTCTACATGTCCGCGATTTTTCGTAAAAATAAGTAGATAGCATGCCGAGAAAATAGATGTTCATTTTTAATCGAGGGATTAATTGCAAGCGGGAATTGAATGCAGTAATTCCAGAGTAACGTTTATTTGCGGTACGTCCGTTACCTCCGAGACGCTAAAGTGATCGGTCGTTTCTTTCCGCTGCGCGATTTTATTGATATAGAAAGCGGGGCATCCCGCTTCCGAGACGAGGTAAGAAAACGTTCTTGGACGAAAGTTCCGTCTATTTCGTCGGAATCGTTACGCTTGTTTTGGCTTCTGAGAAACGCGATGCAATAATCGGAACGCCGCAGTCATCGAGGGAACCGATCAGTTTTTCTATTCCTCACCGTCAATCGTTGTCTCGCCGATTTGAAGATAGATTGAATATCGTAAAACCCCTTTTCCCTCTCCCTCGCGAATCGTCGCGAAAATCGATTGTTTGTGCTCGCCGTGTTGTCGTCGGCGATGCTTTCTCGCGCGAAAGTTGAAATTCTTCCCAAGCGAGATAACGTGCCTCGCTCCCGGCTCGCCTAATTATCGCGATTCATTAGGATGATATTGTGAGCGAAAATCATCGCTAATGATCGGAATAATGGCCAATTGAGAATTCGTTCGCCGCTTCGCTTTTGTATCTTCATTGTCGGTTGCTGTGTGATCGTTAGCTTAGGAGCGACGGGTTAACGGGCTTCTCACATTTTCATTATCGCGCCGAGCTGTAACACATATACGGAACGCTTCCAGCCGACGATGATTTGAAACTTACGTGTCTTACATTGAAGATACCGAGGTAGAAAACCAGGCCTTGTCTACGAAACTGCGACGACTCGAAACGAATTTTCTCTTCTCGCGATGTTGAGCGAGCACGCTAAAAGTACCGATTTAATGATATCATGAATATCCCGCGCTTCCTTTCGACCGCTTGGGCGATTTGTTTTCCTCGACAGAACATTACGATTGTCATTTTTTACAGTAATTTTCTACCGACTTAACTTTATTACATGTAACGCAATTAATCTTCGAATTAAAACTTTATTAACACTGAAATTATTGAATCTTAATATATATTTCTTGGAATAGTACGATATTAATAAGTAAACATTTATTTACGGCAAATAAATATTTATTTAATAAAACAATTATTCGCGCAGATTTATCTGATTAATATCTTATTATTGATATTCTTACAGAGACATTTTTTAACATCAAAAATTAATAAATTGCTCGTTAATTTAATAAAATGATTACTCTGGTTTTTCTCATGATTGCATTTCGAGACTGAAAAAGATTTCGGCGCGTAATTTATAGAATCATATATAAATTCACATAGAAATGTTTAAGCACTAAGCTCTATTTTGATCGAATATAGGAATTCTCTTATTTAATTAGATTAATAAATCAAATTGATAGCTTTTATATTAAATAAATATATGTTTACATTTAATAAATATTCACTTGGAACTATTCAATCAAATATGTTTGTTAAAATTTTTTTTCAACGCAGAGTGTATCGTCCAAGAATACCGTTGTAGAATTTATTTCTTATAAACGAATCATTTCACAAAGCAAATAAATATTCCGCTGAAAGACCTTTTTGCGCTAAGAGAAAAAATATCCCGAATGATTTGGAGAATATAACTGTTTATCGCATTGCAGAGATGCATTTTCCATAGTTGTAACTCCGCGCAGAATTCCGCGCCGGTGATCTCTAGCCTGGTTATCGACCCTCGTGACACATTTGTCTTCCTTCTACATTGTCGCTCTTGCCTACCCCTTCGAGTCGTTACCCCGACATCTGTTGAACATAACGTCATTCCTTCGCAAGGGAGCGACGAAGAGTTGCTGCGTTAAACGGAGGGAATATCTCTCGTGATGCGCTCGTAAGCCTTTCTCAACGAAATTTTAGAG